AACCCATTTTGCACAGAGAGGCATTTTTTGAAAAATGTATTGATAGCAATGTTGAATATTATTACACAGGAAAAGAACAACTACACGAATAGAATAGATCACACCGTGACTGCCTTTCTAAATGGAGGGACAGTAACAAGGTAGTAACAAGTAAGACAGGATTCATGGTTGAGGAGGGCATCTTTGCTGGCATGATCGTTATAGCACTAATAACCAGCTAGTTAGCTAACTGTTGCCGACTTTGTTCAGTAGACGTTTATGGTGCTGCATTTCTGTTTTCTTAGGTATTTGGTTATGGAGAGCCTCAACCGACACAAACATACTATACTCCAGTGCAGTCTTCCAAAAACACAACAGTGCACAACTCGATGGTGCACTGTCAACAGGCGATTGATTTACAAATCAGCCAGATCAATTAATGGAGTGACAGTAGAGTTCACAAAAAAACAATATGAAACAATATGAAACGTACAGACGGTGGCTTTAGAGGACACTTTTTCTTGTTTCACTTCAACTCTTTGTATTCTTCGCAACTGGCAACAGCCAACAACAACACAAGCAAGAGCAGGCAACATGTCTGCCTGCAGGTGCTCTCAGCTGTCTGTAGCTCATTATGATTTGCCAATGCACTGCCAATCAAGAACCCCGCTGAGTCCTTAAAACCCCAGTCCCACAGGCCTAGAGGCCAGTGCCTGGCTATCTGGCAACCACTGGTTGCTAGGGAAAAATGTACATTTCCCAACCAGTTGGCAACCTCCTTGCAATTGCTTTGATCTTTAGTAGACTGGAACTTGCTATCATATCTGCAAACCCATGTCAAGTACTCTCTGGGCAGTAGCGAAACTGTGAAATGTGTGACACAAACCAGAAATGCTTTTACTTTACTTTTAATTTACAGGCAAACATTCTACTTTTCCAGCATTGCACTTTTTCACATTATTTTTATCACTTGGTTTGTATTTAGCATGTCATTGCTGGTGCAGCCCCCTGTTTGTGACCACTTTCACCTCGTGACAGCCATACATTTTGTTACCCGACTGCACTGGCAACACATCGCCCTCTCAGGATATTTGCATAACGTGATTTCATTGGCTAACAGCTGCACTGGATCATTTGAATAAATGTGATTTGATTGGCTGACGCTGGCACTGGCCCTTGGGAAGTTGAATTTCTCTCGACTTTGACTCCAAGCAGGAAGACTAAAGCGAAACAATGGATCCATAATTCAGTTTGGCACTGTGTGACATCACCCGATTCAGCGTAAATAAGAAGCGAGGGCGCCAAATTCTGAAATGCATCCATGTGAATCTTGCCTAAGTCTATCAAGACTAATACTCCTGGCAGTCAGTGTCATACGGTTCCCCTACAGCACCTTTACTAATGATAAGTGTCATTGCAGAATTACAAATTAGATTTAAATTTCATTACATGATATTGTGAGCTCAATAATTTGATTATCTACATTTTGCAGGATAATTTAATGCAAATTGACAGAATGTTATGTGTTATGCATGCAGAGGTCTATTCTTCTGTCAAGATGCTTTTTGGCAATAAAAATCTCACATAATTTAGTTTTTGCCTTCGATACAGCACCGTCATTCCCAAATGAGTCTTAGACCCAGAATGAATTTTACCTTTTCATAGATCTACTCTACATTCACATAAATATATGCACATAAAAACTGGTAGCACATATCCAGTCATTGCATAATTTGATTCATGTTGTATTAATCATGAGTAAAAATTACAAGATTATCTCTGTTTTTTCAAAAGGACAAAGAGCTCAAATGTTCAAGTCCTTTTGCGTCATGATGATTTGATGTCATTAAAAAAAAGTCCAAATCTAGTCATGCAGCTTCTCTCAAGCTTGAGCATAGAGTCTTGGCTTTATGCATCTTGTTGAATAGTCAGTATCCTACATAATCCCTTCATTGTAGTTTCCTCTATTTTAAGCACTCAAGTGACCTTTTGTAGGCTTTTAAACCAGAACAAAGATGCTGATCCTTCTTTTATTCTTTTTCTTTATTGTTTGTTTTGTCTGTCTGTCAGTGTCAGACCAGTTACTTATACTGAATATGTATTCCTTATTACCAATGAAAAACGTTATTACATTGTTTCCGGGCAGCTCAGCAGCAGACATCCAATCATTCACACCTACATGTTACATCTTTTGTGTTTAATAAGTAGAAATCAAACATCAGACTTGCTGCCATCCCTCCAGTTTAGAAACATTTAATGACCTTTTCAACAGCAGGTGTTTGAGCCTCAGAGGCTCCACACAGTTCTCCAGAAATCTTTAAACATTTTGATACCAGCAAACTACTGACAGCAAACCAGCCACGCACATACATTTCAAAACACAGAGTGCATAATCATCACATGCTACACTGAAAAGTAAAATAATATATGGTTTTACAATCAAGGAATTTTCCTTATTAATTTAAAGATTATTTTCCCATATTTTTTTAAACACACGCTGAATAGTAGCGCTTGCCATGTAATAATGTATCCTTTTTTTTTTTACACTTTTTAAATTTTTTTTTACGTTGTACTCCCTTCACCCATCACAGACTTTCCAGTCTAGCACATCTGGCCACATCTGGCCACTGAACAGCAAGATCAGTCCTTTATCTAACTGGAGATAGCGAACAAGCTGCCCCTTACGAAGTGTGTATGCTTGGTACCGGAAAATAAAATCACATCACATTTTCCTACCCAACACTGGTCTGAGGTTAGATCAGGCTGTTGAGAGTGAAACTAAATATAAGAATAAAATGAATAAAAATATAAACTTGATGTCTTTGGAGATGTTCCAGCTTTTTTTACAGGCTTAAGAAGTCAACTCAGACATGTCAAGTCTAAAGTCAAGTCATTTGGCCTAAAGCTCGAGTTGGTACTTT